CAATGAGTGACGAGTGAACGTGCCAATCTTTTAAAAATGACTAAAATCATTATTTTTTTTTATACGGAAATTAACTTTTCTTTCAATTAGGATTAGAATAAAACCGAAATTTAAGTTGAAAGAATGCATTTAAATGATTTAAAATACGTTTTTCGGATTTCATTATCACGTTTTTCGTTTCATTAACACAATGCACAAGGGTATTTTTGCACTAAATTCATTGTAGATTATCTCCACATAGCTTTGCCAGTTTTTAACAAGAAGCCGTCAGAGGGCGCTGTCAAGCAGTTATAAAAACTGGACACTTCCTGTCTCCATTGTCTTTTCTCTGTAGCGGCGACGTTCCATGGGGCCTTCTTCCTGAGCATGCGAATATCTTTTTGCGTTAGTGACAGAACTTTCACACACACACACACACACACACACACACACACACACACACACACAAATACCAACTCAGTTGTTAAATCTCAGTGGCTTCTTTCTTTTACATTCATGATCCTGTATGTTCTCTTTTTTCATTCAGTATTTTTTACAATGTTGTCCACACTATACAAGGCCCAAGAGCCACCCAAGAGGCATTGTTTATGGGGAAAATGGGAGAGATAACGGTTAACCCTAGACTTGAACAGGTTAAGCTTGTAGTGATCGAGTAAGCATCACTTTTCCTTTTTTTTACAATGTTGTCCACTCTCTACAAGGCCCAAGAGCCACTGAAGATAGACGGTTACTGAGTAAGAGGCATTGTTTATGGGAATATATGGGGAAGATAACGGTTAGCCATAAACTTGAACAGGTTAAGATTGTAGTGATCGGTGAAGTGTAACAGAGAGAGGTTGACTCACATGAATGCACACACGCAAATATAACGTTTATTGATTGAAGATGGAAAACACGATCTTCCGTGAAAGTTACAAACTGTGTCAGCGCTATTAATAGGAAAGAATCTAGAACAATGATATATGAAACCTGAGACGGCTGATGGATAAAGAATAAATTTCAAATCGGGTTGGCGAGGACTTGTTTATAAACAAATGCAAAAGGGCAGGAGGCGATGTTTAATTTGGGTCATTAAAAAAAAATAGACGAAAATAGTATTTTTGATAAAAACATATTGAAGTAAATTGGACCGGAGAGGTAAGATCAGTGTATGTCAGCGAAATCTGATCTAAACATGTTGTATCCGCTGAATTTGGTCATCGAAAAGACAATTGAAATGATCATTGAACTAATTAATTTTATCCACTAAGAGATTTGAAATAGATCTGAATTTATGGCGACACTCGTGTTAAGCGCGTGAACAACCTGGCTTATAACCTTCGGTTTGCTATATAAACGCGAGTTTTGCTGAGTTGGGGAGACTTGGGCGTTAGACGAGAGTGACGTTGAGAGAAAGTGACTGTCGTTGCAGTGAGTCGGTCCAGTAGTGAGTCAGAGATAAAGACTTCAAGAAAAATCATCGTCGTTGTAGCAGTCGCATTGAAAAGTCGCTGAAACTTAACGTTTGTGACTTACGACAACCAACTGAAAAGCTACATTTCCACGTAGGGCTGGAATTACGAGTCACATATCCTCCCAAGTTGATTTGGAACGAGTTAATCACACACACACACACCTCTCTCTGTTGGCATAATTGGTAGAGGAGTGGTCCTCTGTTCATATGTTAATTGCTTTTCTATCCTTTCTGTAAACTCTTTCTACGGTTGTTGTTTTGTTATATAAAATACATCAATATTTTCCCCATTGTTCTTCGGCTTCTGCAGATATTATTTCCTTGTTTGCCACATACTAATTTTCTTGTCGACCACCCTCACAGCCGTGCCTACATCCCCAATCGACCGTGAACGTATGGACAACACCCCGCTTGCTGGATCTAAAAACTAACACAACGTGGGCAGCAGGCGGAACTTGGCCGGTGACCGGTCGAACAATCTACGGGTACTCAGGGAGCGTGCGGCCAGCTACCTCTGAGTTCGGTTCAGACCGAGTGGGCGCCTCAACCCAAAGAGGAGGACGCCGGAGGTTGAGGGGCTGAAGTGACGAGTGGTAGAAAGAATCATTTTTCTTTTTTTACAATGATGTCCACCCCGTACAAGAGCCACTCAATGTCGAAAGTTACTGAGTAAGAGGTATTGTTTGTGGCAATATCTGGGGGAAATGGCGGTTAACTCTTGACTTGAACAGGTTAAGATTGTAGTGATCGAGGATGCTTCCCTTTTCTTTTTTTACAATAATGTTCACCTTGTACAAGGCCCAAGAGCCACTCAACGTAGTGGGCTACTGAGTAAGAGGCATTGTTCATGGCAATATGCCGGGAAGATGATGGTTAGCTCTAGACTTGAACAGGTTTAGATTGTAGTGATCGGGGAAACATCCCTTTTCTTTTCTTTTTTCCAGTAATGTTCACCCTTTACAAAGCCCAAGAGCCACTCAAGTTAGAGGCTTACAGATTAAAAGTCACAACACTGTGACACTATTGGAAACGCGCTAGTAAATTGAAACAAACTAAACTCCGATAGACTGAAGATATACCGATGACCGGACGAAGAAAAATGGAAGAAAGATAAAAAGATTTTGGAAAAAAAAAAACTAGATGAAGGTAATTAAATTTCTCGTCCGCCGGACAGGTAAAACAAAGAGACCATCTAGTTTCGATTAGAACTGAGAATACGTGATGGACTATTCTGGAGGTCCAAGGACCCCCCCCCCCCAGAACGAAATAGATAAGATTTTTACGACCATTTTGTGATAAAGTGGAAGATGAATCTCTGGTCGCGAGTTCGGTCGATTGGTAAAGATTAACTTTAAGAAGCAGACAGGTTTCCGGCAGAAAATAGATAAGAGAATGATAATTAAATTTTTCGTCTGCTGAAACGCAATAAAACTTCCTAAATCAAGAGGTTGTTCCATTTTTTCCACTTGTTGACCAAAGGGTACACGATGGTTTGGTTTCTTTTGTTTTACGGCATATCAACCTCAATGGGTCATTTAATGCCGACAAGATTTTTATTGCTGGTAATATCTATCTATCTATCTCAGTATATATTGGTTTGGTTTGGTTTGTTTTACGGCATATCAATCTCAATGGGTCATTTAAGGCCGACAACTTTTTTTTCCTGGTAATATTTTTGTTTTCTCAAAAATTAATTTCTGCTAATATTTTTTTTCTCAAAAACGTATAGCTGGTAATATTATTTTTCCAAAAACTTATAGCTGGTAATATTTTTTTTTAAAATGTACAGCTGGCAACATTATTTTTTCAAAAACATATTATCAGAGGCTTTGCTGTTGGACGCAGTTTATCATCTTACCCAGGACGCGGATGTAGTTTATATTCTGGTGGATGTCCTTCTCCTCTGAGTACGCCCACATGTTCTTGAATTTATCAAGATGAGCGTCAACGATATGGACTTTGAGGGACATTCTGCATCCCATTTTGCTGTAGTTCTTCCCCAGGCTCTCAACAAGCTCCACATAGTTTTCAGCCTTGTGTTTCCCCAGGAAGACACGAACCACTGCGACAAAGTTGTTCCATGCTGCTTTCTCTGTCCTAGTGAGCTTCTTGGGGAATTCCTCGCACTCTATAATTTTCTTAATCTGTGGTCCGACGAAGATATCGGCTTTGAATGTTGCCGCAGACAGCTTAGAGAAGAAATCTTGAAGGTACTTGATGGCTGCAAACTCTTTATCTAGAGCTGTGATAAATCGTTTCATAAGGATCAATTGTAAGTACAGTAGAGGAAATAATACTTTCCGAGGTTCTAACAGTAGCTACCATTTTGTTGTGTTCTGTGTCGTCCCTTGTTCCCCACGCTACTACATAAAATGGTATCAACAAAAAGGACCGTTTATTTTTCTTATTCATTTTATTAGGAGAGAGTAGTGGAAGCTTGGATACAAAGAGGCAGCGGGAAGATTGACGTCACAGAAACGCATATCGCACGTTAGATCAGTGTCCGTCCGTCGGTGGTCTTAGCCGGTCGCTAACCTGGGTGTGGGCGGCGTATCGACGCTTCAGAATTCTTGCGGCCCTCTGTTGAATTCGCGCCGTTTTGGATTTATATCCAAAATCCAGACAAAAGCAATCCACCACTGTCAGAATACCATACCCCGAGGCACTCCAGCCAATCGCTAACCATTCTGACACTAGCCTTTGCATTCTGTAACATTACCTCTCCTTTTTCTTTTTCAAAATACATAGTAATATGTATTTTGCATCATTGCCTATTGTGACTCCTAGGCTATTCGTCCCTCTCTCGCTATGCCTCCAGGACTAGCGTCATATACATGAGTCAAAAGAAAGGAATATTATATAACATAACAAAACATATATTCAGACATATGGTATAATAGCAAAATAAACTTTTTACAGAAATACGCAACAATATAAAACATGACAGTTATCATTTCACCAACACTCGCATAAATACATAAGATAACACCACCTCCAGATTCTACCGAGTATTGGTATCCTCAGAATAGGCGATTTCTCGAGTTGCGTCATTTCATGCATTCTGTGCCAATTTAACGTTGTTCCTCCCTACAGTAAATTCATGATAATTATAATTGTTATAATTATTTTATTATAATCATATTTTAGAACTATTATAGCGGGTTTGTTTGTCGGATTCGATTTGGGCCTTGTTATGATTAGCCCACCATAATGGATGTATGAATGAGTAAATAAAAGACGATAAACAACATATTAAGAACAATCAAGTCTGGAGTATAACAATAATAATTTATATAAAGATTAATAAGTAGTTTCGTATTGTACAAATCAGTAGTAATGTTCATAGATGGCACAATGTTGGTTTTTAAGTAAGATTAAATAAAATGTTTTTGAGAGATGCTAGTATCATTTGGTAATATGTCCTGTGAATAAAAAAAAAGGCGGTAGAATGTATGACAGAAGTAAAGGTGGGTGAAAATGACGAGAAATTTGCGAGGAGTGGTTGTTGAAGCCGAGATGCCTTTGATGTACCCGCTCACAGTTGTAAATGTTCGTCTCTCTGTGTCTTCTCTGTGTGTCTTCTGTTGGAATCTCTTCTTCTTTTTCTTCTTTTAAACAGGGGTCTATTTATATTGTTAGCGAAGTTGAAAGAGGGTGCGATTAAGTTGTTGATTATTTCAGGCGCGCTCATTTCTTATTGGTCAACAGATATTTATTTAGGATTATATTTAATCAACTTCAACCAGAAGTTATGCGTGGAGCCTATAGCGCAAAGCACGAACTATGTCATTATATTTTAAGCCACGAAAGAGGTAACTTCTTGTTTCTTCTCTGAGTGTCACTACATTATAATTAATTTTTATTTATTTATTTTTTATGGACAAGACAGTTCCTTAAAAATGACAACAAAAACAATAAACACTATTTATTTATTAGATTATTTATTTACGTTATTTATTTATTTATTATATCATTTATTGGAATGTTTGGCTAAACATTGTCTAAATTAGCAAATGATTCCAACTTGTTGCAGATTGGCGAATGTATTTTGTGTATCAGAAGGTTAGGTTATCAGAAGGCTTAGAAATGTAGGTGTTCACAAGACATTCATCCACAATAAATATAAAAATAAGAACATTGAAGGTAAAATCATTCAGGAGGAATCAAAAATGAGAAAAACGTGATTAAAGGTTTAACAAATAACATTCATTTTATATCAATTGAACATATACAATCAAGATAGATATTGCTGATCAAGTGAGACCAGTTGTAATAAAATATATAGAAGGATTATGTTGAGTTTCAATGTGTGTAGGCTTGTGGTTAGGATTTGTGTATGAAATTAAACAAGATGTTTTATCGTATTACAAAATGTCTTTTGTGGGAATTCAGTCACTAGTGTGTATGTGTGCGTTTGTTAAAGTTACTGTTCAAAGTTTGTAAGAGTTGTGCACCTTTAGCTGTTGTCTTGATGTTGGATTGAGATTTACAAATACTGTTTGGTAGTGGGTCAATTCACTTTCTTTAGTATGTTGTAAGTAATGTTCCTGAGAGAGCGAAGCACTGTTTGTCGAGTCAGAAGAATTAGCGCGCGAAATGTGTAGTTAGGTCAAAATTTTGGCTAGCGTGGATTTGTTTAACATCTCTCCAGAGTTGAAGTTCTGACGATATTTATTGAGTTTTTATACACAATTGTGGCACAAAGCCGAAAAGGGGGAGGGGTTAAGGCTGGTCGTCACTAACTATCTTATACCTAGCTAATCTGATTCACGACCCATTCACTCCATTACAATTTGCCCATTCACCACAAAAACTCGTCCATCACCAATCAATCCTCCATACACCATAATACCGCATCCTCACAAGGGGGACATACAAAACGCGCCCCATGACGTAAAAATTTAATGATAATAAATACTTAAAAATCTATGATGAAAAATGAGAGGTGGGGATGAACCCCAAAACAAATTAAATATAAACACAAAGTGAACTAAACATAACTGATGTTAGTAGGGCCCGTCCAATCCTCAAAATGAGAGGCCGCTGTATTCTGCCCATTTGGACAAAATCCAGAAGCTCTCTCGCTAAGGGAGTGGGAAAAGGAGAAAATATATACGGACATGGGAAAGAAAAAACTGACCCAGTCGAGATAAAAAAAAAAAGAGGTGTCAAGACAAAATGGGGAGGTTGGGAATCTCTTGGATCATAACAAAAGATGTAGCTGGGAACAAGCTAGGAACAACATTTACTCATATTAACTAGGTACACAAAAGCTTGTCTAACCTAACCAGGGGGAGGGATCCACAGGAAACCACCCCGATGTGACGCAGGTTGACCTAAAAGAGAAAATCAAGGCTAGCCCCGTTCAAACAAACCAAGCTCGCCTCAGTCACCCACCTTTCGCTGAAGACTGTCGAATGCAAGCGTTTTCTATCAGTTCTAATGTTCATCTTGAGCTAATGCTCAAAGAATTGAATCAGATCCTGATCAGAAAGACGGATGTCTCACAAGACTTCCTCCTGTCGCGTCGTCCAAATCACCATTCGGGTCGTGGCCAGCAGCGTCAGAAACACCATCCGTTTCACCACGGAATACGGGGTCGACACACTGTCACACGCGTATGCGCGATCAATGGACACGAGCCTTTCGGGGGCGAGACGAGCCGTCAGCTCGCCGACATGATCCCATAAGGGGCGGACCCGGGAACAATGGTAGAAGGCGTGCGAAGCCGTTTCTTCTAAACCAAGGCCACACCGTTCACAAGTCTGGCAAATCCGCCAAGCCCCATATGAAGACTTTGTCATTGAGAGGCAGCCGATTCCGAGCCAATCGCCAGGTAAGCGAAAACTCAGGCCTCCATGACACGGACGTTGTGCACAGACCTGTCTATCGACCCGATTCCCGCGTCCCCTCCATAAAATGGAGGATAGCGAGCGCTCGAGCGGCTTCCTATGGTCGTCACAGAGAGGAAGTACAGACAATCGATAAGGGAGCAGAGGGAAAACGTAAGTGGCACACGCCTCCATCCAGCTCATTCACGGAAAACCTCCGTCGACGCCAAGTCTGCCCGATCGCGTCGACCTTTGCTCGTACTTCAGACCAATTTTTCACCAGCTGGAAGTCAGGTCCAAACCACACTCCAAGAATGCGGACAGGACCGTCCGTCCAACCGAAGGGCCCCGGAAGATCGACCCCCTTCCAGGCACCTAACCGCAAGCCGGACGACTTGACGCGGTTAATTTTGTACAAAGTATTATGGGACAGAGGTAGTAATAAATAATTCCAATCCCAAATTGGAAGGATTGCTGCTAGTTCTAAGCCCGTTCTCTTTAATCCTGATATGCTACAGTGTTCCGATAGAATTTGATTGCAATATATTAAACTAGCTCTGTCCTATAATGTTTAGTACATTAAGTGTTTGAAATGTGTATGCAAATGTAACAATTATTTTGGGATAAACGTCGTGAAAATGTTTTAAATGTTTCTAATAAAAGAAATTTTTAAAATTCTCTATATCCCAGGGACATAAACGCTAATATTTAACTAATGACTCACCTTGATACCACACGATATCTTCTGATATAAAGAAAAAACAACTTTAAAACAATAATCTCTCTAAGCAACGCTGATAATTGATTTATAAATGAATGGTTACTGACCAAATATACATATTAGTATGGGAAATAATACAATTAGTTTAATTTCAGAACTAAATTAATAAAATCTGTGGAAAGCTGAAATATAATAAATAAATAATTTATAAACAAGTGATGTATAATGAAAGGAAATTCATTTTCCCTTGATGAATCGGAAAATCCTGCTGGTGAATGTTAGTTTACCTGGTCCACTGACGACTAAACACTCTTTCCACTATCCAACGCATGACATTCGCAAAACCTCCACGTATGAAATAAATCAACCTTTTCTTTGGTCGTTCCAACTCTGCGCAAGGCTGACTTGAGCTCGACCATTATAACCACGTCTAAACCTTCCAACGATGAAGTAAATAGATACTTTTCTTTGGTCGGACCATTACAACGATGCTTATACTTACTTACCCTATCTATTGAACCAAAATTAAACGGACATGCAAAAGAGACATTGTGAATTTCTTTCACTACAAATTATATAATAAAAAGACAATAAACGGTCCGTGAAATAAATCCAAGATTTGTACACTTCCTTTTTAATTGTTTACGTCAGAACATGCACCAACCTAAAATAGACACCAACACGCAACCTTTAAATTCCATAGTTCACTTAGTAACGTTGCCTTTTTTATAGTACACTAGTGAATATAAGGTATTTCAGTGTTTGACTAATGTTTGGTTTGGTTTGTTTTGTTTTGTTTTACGGCATATCAACGACAATGCCAACAATTTTTATTGCTGGTAATATTTTTCTTCATGAATCTATTGCTGGTATTTTTTTTCCTACAAAAATTTATTTCTGGTAATATAGCTGGTAATTTTCTTCAAAACCTGGTAATTATTTTTCAAAAAATGTATATAATTTTTTTCAAAAAAATATATGGTAATTTTTTTTTTTTTTTTCAGTAAATTTTTTCAAAAAATGTATAGCTGGTAATTTTTTTTTTTTTTTTAAATCTTTTTCAAAATTTTTTCAAAAAATCTATACCTGGTAATTTTTTTAAATTATTGGTAATTTTTTTTTCAAAAAATGTATAGTAGGTAATTTTTTTTTTTTTTGAATCTATCGGTGGTAATTTTTTTTTTCAAAAAATGTAGAGCTGGTAATATTTTTAAAAAAATGTATAGCTGGTAATTTTTTTTCAAAAATGTGGCTAATTTTTTTTTTTTTCAAAAAATGTATCGCTGGTAATTTTTTTTTTTTTTCAAAAAATGTATAGCTGGTAATATTTTTTCAAAAAATGCATAGCTGGTAATATTCTTTCAAAAAATGTATAGCTGGTAATTTTTTTTTTTCAAAAAATCTATAAAAAATGGTGGTAATTTTTTTTCAAAAATGTACAGCTGGTAATTTTTTTTTTTTTCAAAATTTTGTATAAAAAATATTTTTTTAAAAAATGTAATTTTTTTCAAAAAAATCTGGTAATATTCGGTGGTAATTTTTTTTTCATCAAAAAATGCATAATAGTAATATTTTTTTCAAAAATGTAAGCTAGTTTTTTTTTTTTTTGAATCTATCGGTGGTAATTTTTTTTTTCAAAAAATGTGTAGCTGGTAATATTTTTCAAAAAATGCATAGCTGGTAATATTTTTCAAAAAATGTATAGCTGGTAATTTTTTTTTTTCAAAAAATGTGAAATATTTTTTTTCAAAAAATGTAATTTTTTAAAAAATGCATAGGTAATATTCTTTCAAAAAATGTATAAAAATTCTGTTTTATCAAAAAATGTATAACTGGTAACATTTTTTTTTTTTTTTCAAAAATGTATAGCTGGTAATTTTTTTTCTTTTTCAAAAAAATAGCTGGTAATATTTTTTCAAAAAAAATCCATAGCTGGCATTATTCTTTCAAAATGTATAGCGGGTAATTTTCAAAAATCAATAAATGTATAGCTGGTAATATTTTTTTTGTATAGCTTTAATTTTTCTTTTGCAAAAAATGTACAGCTGGTAATTGGTATGTATCGATGGTAATTTTTTTTTTCAAAAATGTATAGCTGGTTTTTTTTTTTTCAAAAAATGTATAGCTGGTAATTTTTTTTTTTGTTTTGTATAGCTGGTAATATTTTTTTGGTAATATTTTTCAAAAATGTGTAGGTGGTAATTTTTTTTCAAAATTTTTTCAAAAATGTATAGCTGGTAATTTTTTTCAAAATTTAGCTGGAAATTTTTTTTTCAAAAAATGTAGAGCTAGTAATATTTTTTTAAAAAATGTAATATTTTTTCAAAAAATGCATAGCTGGTAATATTCTTTCAAAAAATGTATAGCTGGTAATTTTTGTTTTATCAAAATATGTATAACTGGTAATATTTTTTCAAAAAATGTATAGCTGTTAATTTTTTCTTTTTCAAAAAATGTATCGCTGGCAATTTTTTCTTTTTCAAAAAATGTATAGCTGGTAATATTTTTTCAAAAAATGCATAGCTAGTAATATTCTTTCAAAAAATGTATAGCGGGTAATTTTTGTTTTATCAAAAAATGTAGAGCTGGTAATATTTTTTCAAAAAATGTATAGCTGGTAATTTTTTTTTCAAAAAAAAAATGCATAGCTGGTAATATTCTTTCAAAAATGTATAAAATTTTTGTTTTATATAGCTGGAAATATTTTTTTTTATTTTTTAAAAAAATGCATAGCTGGTAATATTCTTTCAAAAAATGTATAGCTGGTAAATTCTGTTTTATCAAAAAATGTATAACTGGTAATATTTTTTCAAAAAATGTATAGCTGGTAATTTTTTCTTTTTCAAAAATGTATAGCTGGTAATTTTTTTTTTTTCAAAAAATGTATCGCTGGTAATATTTTTTCAAAAAATCCATAGCTGGCATTATTCTTTCAAAAATGTATAGCGGGTAATTTTTGTTTTATCAATAAATGTAGAGCTGGTAATATTTTTTCAAAAAATGTATAGCTGGTAATTTTTTCTTTTTCAAAAAATGTATAGATGGTAATTTTTTTTTTTCAAAAAATGTATAGCTGGTAATTTTTTTTTTTTTTTAGCTGGTAATTTTTTTTTTTTTCAAAAAAATGTATCGATGGTAATATTTTTTCAAAAAAATGCTGGTAATATTCTTTCAGAAATGTGCTGGTAATTTTTTTTTTCAAAATGTATAAAAAATTTTTCAAAAAAAATAGCTGGTAATTTTTTTTTTCAAAAATGTATAGCTGAAATATTTTTAAAAAATGTAATATTTTTTCAAAAATTCTTTCAAAAAATGTATAGCTGGTAATTTTTATTAACTTTCAAAAAATGTAGCTGTTAAAATGTATATTTTTCTTTTCAAAAAAATGTATAGCTAGTAATATTTTTTTTTGTTTTATCAAAAAAAAATGTATAACTGGTAATTTTTTCAAAAAAAAAATGTATAGCTGGTAAATTTTTTTCAAAAAAATTTTTTTTTTGTTTTATAAAAAATGTATAACTGGTAATTTTTTTTCAAAAAATGTATAGCTAGTAATTTTTTTTTTAAAAAATGGTAATTTTTTTTCAAAAAAAAAATGTATAGCTGGTAATATTTTTTATTCTTTAAAAAATTTTTGTAGAGCTGGTAATATTTTTCAAAAAATGTATAGCTGTAATTTTTTTTTTTTCAAAAAATTTTTAATTTTTCTTTTCAAAAAATATGTAATTTTTCTTTTTCAAAAAAAATAACTGGTAATTTTTTTTTTATTTTTTCTGGTAAAAATGCTGGTAATTTTTTCAAAAATGTATCGCTCGTAATTTTTTCTTTTTCAAAAAAATATATAGCTGGTAATTTTTCTTTTTCAAAAAAATGTATAGCTGGTAATTTTTTTTTTTATCTGGTAATATTTTTTCAAAAAAAGCAGGTAATTTTTTTTAAAAATGTATAATTTTTTCAAAAAAATGTAGAGCTGGTAATATTTTTTCAAAAAATATGTAATTTAATTTTTCAAAAAATGTATGGTAATTTTTTTTTTTTTTTTTTCAAAAAAAAAATCAAAAATGGCACAGTATGGTAATATTTTTTCAAAAATGCATAATATTCTTTCAAAAATGTATAGCGCGTGATTTTGTTTTATCAAAAAATGTATAGCTGGTAATATTTATTCAAAAAATGTATAGCTGGTAATTTTTTCTTTTTCAAAAAATGTATAGCTGGTAATTTTTTTTTTTTCATATTTTTCAAAAAATGCTGGTATTTTTTTTTTTTCCAAAAAATGTATCGCTGGTATATTTTTAAAAATTTTTTGGTTTTTTCTTTTCAAAAAATGTATAGCTGGTAATTTTTTTTTTTCAAAAAAATGTATCGCTGGTAAATTTTTAATTTTTTTTTCAAAAAAGCTAGTAATATTCTTTCAAAAAAATGTATAGCGGGTAATTTTATTTTATCAAAAAATTTTGATAATATTGTTTCCAAAAAAAATGTAATTTTTTTCTTTTTCAAAAATGTATCGCTTTTTTTTTTTTTCAAAAATTTTAATTTTTTTTTTTCAAAAATGTTTAGCTGGTAATTTTTTCTTTTTCAAAAAATGTATTTTTCTTTTAAAAATAGCTGTTAATTTTTTTTTCAAAAAAAATGTATAATATTTTTTTTCAAAAAATGTATCGTTTGTATTTTTTTTTTTTTCAAATTTTGTTTGTCAAAAAAAGCTGGTTTTTTTTTTCAAAAAAATGTATAGCTGGTAATTTTTTTTTCAAAAAATATATAGCTGGTAATTTTTTTTTTTAAAAAAAATGTATAATTTTTCGTTGGTAATTTTTTTTTTTTTGTGTCACTTGAAAATTTTTTTTTTTTCAAAAAATGTATAGCTGGTAATATTTTTTCAAAAAATATGTAGCTGGTAATTTTTTTTTCAAAAAATGTATCGCTGGTAATTTTTTTTTTTTCAAAAAATCTATAGCTGGTAATATTTTTTCAAAAAATGTATAGCTGGTAATTTTTTTTTAAAAAAAAATGTATCGCTGGTAATTTTTTTTTTTTTTTCAAAAAATGTATAGTTGCTAATATTTTTTCAAAAATGTATCGCTAGTAAATTTTTTTTTTTTTTTTTCGAAAAATGTATAGCTGGTAATATCTTTTTTCAAAGATATTTGGTTTGTTTTTTGTTTTACAGCATATCAACCTTAATGTGTCAACAAGATTTTATTGCCGGTAATATATTTTTTTCAAAAATGTCTTACTGGAAATAATGTATTGTTGGTAATAATTTTTCTTCAAAAATTTATTGCTGGTATTAATTTTTTACAAAGTATTTCTGGTATTAAAGCCTATTTTTACACTTTTACAATGTTTTGACACCATTTTGGGTTTAACTATTTACCAATAGCTGGGACCCTAACAGGTGCTACCACCCTAGGTCAGGTTGTACCTGAGAACACCAACAATTAAGAAGTGTTTACATGCACCTCAAAACCTCCTCATCAGAGGCCTTGCTGTTGGGCGTAGTTTATCCTCTTACCCAAACTCGGATGTAGTTTATCGTCATACCCCAGACTTTCAGACAGTATTCATTGAAGTAACGAACTGAAAATGCAATTTGTATATTAGGCTAAAAAAGCTGATTCACTATGTCGTACGAGACAATTTTTCTCTCCTGAATCTATCTTACATATCTAGATGTTTACAATTCGTCCATGCTTAGAATATTGCTGCCATATATAGTCCGTTGCCCCTGATGTTTACCTTGAGCTCATTGATAAAATCCAAAGAATAATCAGCAATATTATTGGTCCTGATCTGGTGTCCCGGCTTCACTCACTTTTCCGACGCCGTAAGATTGCCTCTCTGTGTCTTTTCTATAAATACGTTTATGGTCATTTTTAAGATGAGCACTTCACTGTGGTACCTAGACTTTTTGAATTTAAGTACTAGACTGCCTTCGAGATCTCATCAATTTAGTATTGAGCTGGCTAGATGTAACTGTAAATTCTATGCTAACAATTTCTTTCCTAACACTTCTCGCTTCTGGATCTCTCTTCCGGCTCGATGTTTTCCCGCCGTAAACACAATGTCAATCACTGTCTACTGTCCTGATTACTCTTTCCTCTTCTCACTCATTATTAATGCTTCTGTTCTTAATTCTTCCATACCCTGTAACCCCCTTGTGTCTTGGTAGCTTTACTGTCTTGCATGGGTGGCTACCGATTAAAAATATGAGCGGAAACCTGTCAACGGAAAGATCAATAAATGCTTGACAATTCACAAGTATTCACTACAGATAGAAGAACTGAACCGGAATAAAACAAGGAAGGGCTAATGTGTTTGATTATTATTACCGTTTCATTTATTCATTAGGACGTCTTGTGGAATATACGACAGCAAACCCGCTATATTGTTGCTGAATTCTGTCTGGTTGTAACGGCTTCAGAATCAGGCTTATTGTTCATGGGAACCAATTGTAACTTTATATCCTCCCTGGTCGTCCAACACGTTCAGTACTGCGGCTGATCGATGGAGTGATCTATTCGATCCTGATCTTCCCTATTCCACGTTGTGATTGGTTGATTATAAGGAGGCCAAGATCGATTCGTCACAGGTATCCTCGTGTTGGGCTGGTCCAAACAAAGCGAAGTCGTACAGTAAAACAGATGAAAACAACACTCGAAATAATATAAAAAAAACATATTTACTATTTGTATATCGAGTACTGCGTACAATGGCTTGTCAATAGTTGTTAGGTTCTAAGGTGTTAGCATACAGGTGTTTGTCGGCCCAACCCGTTCCTTAATCGGACGCAGCACTTTGTTAAGTTGGTAAGGTTTTGATTGCGGAGTTATCAGACCTTGTTTAGCTGATTTGGTAAGTTTGGCTCAAGGCTGATGTCGGAGGTTCGCGTCGACAGATAGTCACGTGCGTTGTCTCGCGCTCAGCGAATGGAACAGAGTCTCGGGGCGATCTCTCACCCGCCTCTTCTCTGTCCCTCTGAATTCGCTTCGCGCATTCATATTTATTGATGTCTGCCAAAAACTGGTGTGGGGTCGGGGCGATGATGTCGGGGAATTGGTATTTCCTCCACCTGTTTTCTTCATTGTCTTTGCTCCTGAGAAATTAATTATTTCTCATTTTGGAAGTTTCCCCCTTTTCTCGGATAACGGGTGTAGGCATTATTCCGCCCACGGCTTCTTCTTCCTTCTCTTAGCATCTCTCACTAATGCTCCTCAGTGGGTGTGGGCAGCTCCTTCACCCTTCTTCTCTCCCGTCTGCGCCTGCTACCCTTCCGTGGGTGCAGGCAGCTCCACCTCCTTCCTTGATCACTCTTCTGCGCCTGTAACCTCCACCATTCAGCGAAGACTAATTAAAAAAGATATTATTCAAAATGCTATCACCTCATAAGTGAACTGACACCAGTGTTGAATTCCTCGACCCAGAGACACTTTCCAAGTGAAAATCTTGCAACTTACATTATGGTGACAATGTCAAGATATCGCCATGTGTTCTTATTAAACAAAAATTAAGTCAGGTAGTTATTGTTTTCAATCCTGACATCTCTGCAGAAATATTTCGCCAAGTCGGTTTTATATTTACTTCCCGTCCAAAATCAGATACTGAACACCTGACTCTCATATCCTTTGGTTCGCTTTAGAAATATTCCTTAAATAACTTTTTTTACCTCTAACTGGCATTTAAAATTTTATCCAATTCTCCTCGTGTCGATTCCACGGACATGTTCAGGGCAGCGTTATCTATCAATTGTCAACACCTTGTCCGTCGTACAAATTAAGTATTGTTCTTGGCCGACCACTTGGTTCGTTTTAGAATTTTCGATTCTCTGGGCACGAACTATTATTAGTCTATTGTTCTTGATATCCATTTAACCATTTTCATGGTAATTCATTTATCAATATCTTGTTTTTGTTTGATATTCAAAGCCCTCATTATTAATTACCAGCAACCCAAATAGTGCTACATGATGCTTCTGTTATGTACCGAGAGATTCTTGACAAAATCAGCAGAAGAATCTGCAATCTTATCGGTCCCGACATGGTATCTCGGCTTCAGTCATTTTCCCACCGCTGTAAAGTAGCTTCCGTATGGCTTTCTTATAAATATTTCCAAGGTAATTCTTCTGATGAGTTTTTTGTCTTTGGTCCATCAACTTTAAGCGCAGTACTAGATTGGCAACTAAGTCTCATAATTTTACTGTTGAAATTGCTTGACCTAACCGTAAGTTCTATGTTAACAGTTTCTTCTCTAGTACTCCTTGTACTTGCTTGTTGAACTCTCTTCCGTTTCTTGTTTACAGCCAAAGCGGATTTTCAAAAATTTTAGATCAGGACCGATTGCATTGCAGATTCTTCTTTGGATTTTATTAATAATCTCTAAATACATAAGCAGAAGCACCAGATCAGATGTGGCAGCAATATTCAGTGCATGGACGAATGGTAGACTTAAAAATATGTAAGATAGATTCTGGCAAGAAAGATTGTCTAGCACGACACAGTGAACCAACTTTCCTAGCAGCAGATCTAGCATTAGATGAAGTTAACGAAATTAAGATGAAAGAAATACTAGAGAAAAAAGTTAAACATGTTCTTCTAATGAAAATTCAAAATAATATTACTACGAATACTAGTGAAAATAAAGCAAGAGAAATTAAGATGAATGAAATACGAGTCAAAAAGGAATCAGGGTTGACAATGGGTCGTCTAATAAAAAGTCTTGACTGATGTGGTAGGATATGTCTTGAGAAGACATTTTTTAATCATTTCGCCACAAGAAAGGGAATAAAACCACTAAGCCGCAAGTGTTACTGAGTGTGAGAGAATATGAGAAAAATAAAATATTATTAAGGTGAGAGAACAATAAAAGAACAGAAATTAAGAAGATAACAATTCACATTGCATTTAAATTTTTGAATATCAAAGTTGACTGAAAATCAGATAAAGGGAACTTACATAGAACTTCCGGTTATATCTAACCATTTCAACAGTAGAATGATGAGACCTTGCCGCCAATCTAGTACTGCACTTAAATTAATAAAGTCTGAAAGTATCCATGGCAAAGGTACAGGGAAGCTAGGTTACGGCGGCGGGAGAGTGACTGAAGGCGAGATGCCATGTCAGGACCCATAACATAACAGATTCTTCTTTAGATTTTATCAAGAATCTCTAAATAAATAGCAGAAGCAACAGACCAGATGTTGCAGCAATATTCAGTGCATGGACGACAATACAAGACTTATAGTTTCTGGTGATAAAAATTGTCGAGCACGTGACAGTGAATTAACTTATCACGTGGTAGACCTAGCAATTAATTCAATATAATTTTTTCCACTTCATGTCAGTGGAATACGTCAGCCCGAGAAGGCACAATGATTCACTCTCCTGGAGGTTAGCATTAGCCATGCTGATGGAAGGCCAAAATAGTTCTCTAAGACAATTTAAAAAAAAAAAAACAGATTCATTTTGGAGATGTTAGAATTAACAAGTCATTTCTTGCCCCAGTTAACAACGAATTGATGGTCATGTTTGAGATCAGCTGCCAATTTGACCTCATTGAACCGATCAGACTTACCATTAAGACAGAAGTAAATACTTGTGTCATCGGCATAGATACTGAGTTGATATAATTCCTACCGAAGATTACACGATCCCCGTCCGCAGCCGTGGTAAACTTCTGTCTCTTTCGTCCGGGCGCTCGTTGGAACTCAGGCTGGAAAAAGAACTCCTTCAATGAAAAGCACAACACTGTTGATAACTCTAATAACAGGTTTCGTGAATATAAAGAAAACTGGCTGAATAAGATGGCTCTATTAGTTATTGTAAATCAAAATGGTGATTTGTAGATTGATCGCAATCGTTAGTGATGTCCTGTTAATTCTTTGGTTATGCGTGGGAGATTCCCAATCGTAACCGCTTAAGTAAATGGTCAGCTCGTCGACCTTCCTCAATTCTTCCGTCATCCGTGTGTCTGTGTTTTCATACTGGCCCGGAAATTGCGGTTGTGCTCTATAGTGACGACTGTCTTAAAGCAATTCCAGTCCATACTGAGCCAATGAAATGCGGGTATGCCTCTCGTCTAACGTCTGCTCTACACTTGGGAGAAAATGACTACCAAGCGAACGCGCCCTGACCATATATATATATATATATATATATATATATAGAGAGAGAGAGAGAGAGGGGGGGTGGGGAATCTTTCCCAACAACAATGACTGATTACTTTCATTACGTACACAGACGACAGAAAATGACAATTCACAATGTCCGAATTTCTTTATCTCCATATTCCTGTAAGCTGAAATCTGGTTTGAATCACTCATGTCAAAAACCTAAAATAATGTCAGCTATAAAAATTTTAAACGAATGCCGCAGAAAGATAGACAGTCTCGTCCTTAATCTTAGGCGTTATGGTATTTCCCTTGTATATTCCAAGTCTCGCTAATCTTTTGTAAAGATATTTTTCTGGGTGTTCAACACAACCATCTATATAATAAATGTGAACGTCAGTGTATCACTATGTCACACTTTTTCAAATTTACTCCTAGAAGCTGTAACCGAACATATCATACCATTTTGGAATCAGGCCGACTCCGTGAGCAAATTAAAAAACATTTCAGGCCGGATCCAGACCCACAACCCTGAATTTTTGGATTCCCAAGTTTATATTACTGCGTTTGTTTTCGGCGATTTGTTATGTGATTTTTTTGCAACGAATTTTTTTGTGCGATAACAGTTTTTATAACTTGGAAATAAATTTGAGAATAATCGAAATTAATTAAGAAATCCAGCGAAAGTCACCCAGGAAATAAAAATAATTGTTTGTACGGAAAGTAAGGACCTACGTACATCAAATTGTCTTTAAATTAAGTGGCGATAGAAGAATTATCGTTGAACTTTTAAAAGGTAAGCTTAAATATTAATGCAAAACTTAAGTGCAACGATCAATTTTGAATTCTTCTGTAGTTTATTGTTGCCTATCGCATCTACTCCTCCCTACCTATTATGATGAAAGCCCAATCAAGAGCCCTCCTTTCTAATAGACAACTCAAAAGAAATATCAATAGATACTGAATTGCCAAGGGGACATAGTTGTGGTGGTCTACAACAGCTAGGAGAGAAGGTAAGGAACAAATCAAGTTAGGAAGAATGTTGAACAGATTTATTCGAGAAACGAGTAAGGAAATCCACTATTTAACTGAGAGACTGAGTGAGCAATGGGAAAACTGTATGTCTGAATACCGGCCACATCAGTAACATTAAAATGCTTAATCCACTTGAGTGAAGAGCATTAAAATCACCAAACACAAAAATATTCGCAGATGGGTGCAAAGAAAGAGACATTTCTATATTATCAGAAATTTTGTTTGATATATTACAGTCCTGAGAAGAAGAGGAGTGATAAACTAAAAAGAGATAGCTAACAGAGTGTAATGATGAAAGTCAAAAGCACATGAGAGAATCGTCTGGGGACTCAAGAGACAATTCCCTTGCAATTGGAAGATTTTCCTGAATATAAACACCGAAGCCAGGCATATGTATGCACGAATCTGACATATCTCTACTAACCTTTTGGAAATATTACTTAAAATTTTAGGAGTTTCGTCCAAGTATTCCCAAATAGTATTTACACTATATTTGGACTATTGTTCTCATCTTTGTTGTTATTATCTTCACTCTACAAATACACCCGTCAGATAAAGAGTTGAGAAAGAAAGATAGATAAATTAATGAGTGTATTATTATGACATATTGTTGCAGCCTAGGAAAGGTTACTGAATAGAATAATCACACGAGGGTTGGTAATGAAAGATAATACTTAGGACACGAACAACACATATAAGATTCGCCAGCGGACCGTAGAAGTAGTCAACTGCTAGAAGTGAGTCAAGTGAATTCCACAATTGCAGGATATCTATCAACCGCCACGCGGTCAGATCTGGTACTAGGTCGAATTTAATGTGGGGTATCCGAGCCCGTAGGCTCGGCCAAAAATTCCCCGTATAACCCGTATAAAACTGAGTTGGTCAGCTGTTTACCGAGACGATACTCTGCCCTTCGATATAGCATTGTCTGGGGATCCTCTCTGTCCGGAGGCAGAGAGTTTGACCAGCACACCTGGAGACGAATCTCCGCCTACAGACCAACATACGGTATTTACTATTGTATTTATGTGAATGGGGACATGCGCATTATCGTCCGTAGGTATACTACAACACATACATGCTTTGTAATGTTTAGACCAAGTGACCTTCCTATCGGATTTGGTCACTCTCTGTGTTGAATGTTTTCTTTCAACTGTTGAATTATTTGTTGTGCATCTCGTTTAGAGTTCTTACTAACTGGAACTGATTGGTTGATTGAGGATTTTGTAGTTTGTAGTGTAGTAATGTC